TTTAAATCTTTACATCTGGCCTTTGAAAACTTATGTAACTTTAGGCATTTCAAAAAGTTTCAATTTGTTTTTTGGTAGTCATTGTACTGAAATTTAAAACATGGATTTGTACCCAATACAAATTGCACCCCTGACAGTGACATGGTCAAGTGAGAGGTCGCATCAAGCAAAGTGTCCGCAAAACAAATCAGAACCCTGAAAATCCTGAAGCTGTTTTCATCAAGATTGGCTATGGCTAACTATTCAAATAGCAGCATGTCCACCAGAGATCTCCGAATCAAAGACACTTTTAAACCCACACAGCCGATAGCACAGGCAGCAGCCAATGGGAGGCCCAGTGAGCCGCGATTTCGTGAAACGAAAAGGTCAGCCCAAAGGCCTATAAGAGCTGCACAGGCGGCCCGGCAGAGCCGCCAGAGCAGCGGCCCAGTGAGCCGCAAATAAAATTCGAAAGCAGCGGCCCAGTGAGCCGCAGATCGAATGTGAAAGCGGCGGCCCAATGAGCCGCAAAGGCGGCCCAGCAGAGCCGCCAAAGCAGCGGCCCAGTGAGCCGCAAATAGAAAGCAGTGGCCCAATGAGCCGCAAAGGCGGCCCACCAGAGCCGCCAGAGCAGCGGCCCAGTGAGCCGCAAAATGGAAAAGGAGCGGCCCAGTGAGCCACAAATAGAATGTGAAAACAGCGGCCCAATGAGCCGCAAAAGGCGGCCCAGCAGAGCCGCCAGAGCAGCGGCCCAGTGAGCCGCTCATAGAATGTGAAAGCAGCGGCCCAACGAGCCGCAAAGGCGGCCCAGCAGAGCCGCCAAAGCAAGAGCGGCCCAGTGAGCCGCGAATGGAAAGCAGCGGCCCAATGAGCCGCAAAGGCGGCCCAGCAGAGCCGCCAGAGCAGCGACCCAGTGAGCCGCAAATAGAATGTGATAACAGCGGCCCAATGAGCCGCAAAGGCGGCCCAGCAGAGCCGCCAGAGCAGCGGCCCAGTGAGCCGCAAATAGAAAGCAGCGGCCCAATGAGCCGCAAAGGCGGCCCAGCAGAGCCGCCAGAGCAGCGGCCCAGTGAGCCGCAAATAGAATGTGAAAACAGCCGCAAAAGTTAACACACTTTGACATGTAAGTAGTTAGTTCCCTGGAAACAATTTCAAAACAATATTTGGCGGCCGCCCTCGCTCTTTTTCCTCTTTATGCCTGCGTGTCGTTTCATTCAAGCAAGGGCAAAATGATGTGAATCGTGGATTTGGTGATCGCCAAAAAGTTGCAGATGGCCTCTTTCTCTTCACCCAGCTGAAGTAACAGCTGTGAATGCTCCAGCTTGTCTAAGAAATCTAAAGACAAATGCACTTCTCCCACCAAAATCTCTCGCCGACTCTTGGGTAAGGCCTTCAAAGCTTCCAAGTTTTGGGCCAAAGTGCGAAATGCGCCATGCCCTTTCGAAGTGATTCGGCAATCGTTTGGGTCAAAAGCTCCTTTGGTTAGAGCAATCCACATGACATCCAGAGCTTGCGTGTCTTCACAGAGGCCCAAGCAGCCCAGCATGGATCGAACAAACTCTCGGAGGCATTCATATTTGTCTTTCTCTTCCTCAGATGCCTGTATATAGAAGGTGTGAAGAAAGGCAACCAAGGGCGTCATCTGCAGAGGATTGGGAAAGATTAAGCTTTTGAGCCTACAACAAGATGCAAGAATACTACATGAAAGAAAGAGATGCCATAAGCTTCTAAGACGAGTCAGCTTGAAGGTAGGTTCTTTTTTGCTTCTGCCTCTGCAGCGATTGGCTCCCAATGCTTATTGCCAATCAGGAGGCTGAGTCTGAGGTCTTTGTGAGAAACATGTCAAACATGTCGTTCAATGCCCAAAAAGCGGATCTGATGCCAACGCTCACGACAGCTTAGCCGCCGTGTTGGGAGGCAATTCCACAGACACCACAGTGGCAACATGCGGCTTGACAGGTGTCAGGCCTTTGGTGACCCATTTGCAAGTCCAAAGAATTGCACAGAGGCCTCGCTCTTCAAAGCTCAGTTTTGACACAGGGATCAGGCCAGCCATGGAACCAGTTCCTTTGACTTCATTGCCATTCTCCTCAGGCGTTGCTGTCGCACGAGGGTTGGGCTTGTAGTACACATCGTGTTTTCTCGTCAGGCTGAAGGCTGCAGCATCTTCAGCTGTGGGAGATGCAGTGACTTCATGGTAGCATACCTCTGCGGAGCTTCGTGTCTTCTGCGCTGACATCACGACTTCCTGCAAAGTCATCATTTTGGAGTTGTGAAAGACATGGCTCTGCGACCCCACCAAATCAAAGAGCACCGTCTGCGGGTCGGCAGGCCCAGCCTTTCCTTCTGGCAGCCGTGGGACGTGTTTGAAGATTCCTGCGCCAAAAGAAGCCAGGATAGTGCCAGGCGGCAAAGTTTGGACCGAGGAACTATTGTTCAAAACCCACATTGTCGAGTCCAACGCAATGCGGAGCACAATCTTGCCTTGCATGTCTTTCTTGAGACCACTGACTGCTGACTGTGCCAAGTGGTTGGCCGGGAGGCTGTCACATGCTTGCAGCTGCAATGGCGGTGTCACACGTAGCTTCTTTGGCGGGCTTGGACCAGGGTCGTCGGACTTCACCTTGTTTGTGGTCGCTTCGGCAATGATGGGCTCTCCAAACTCGTCGACAATCTCTTTCATCAGAGCTTGGAAAGATTCCCCAAAGGAGTCGTGGGGCGACCAAAGCTTCACAGTTGCATCCGGAACTGTCAGTGAGCCTCCTGCCATACTGCACAAATTTAGCTGCGGAGCATCTGGCGCCGAAGCAAGGACTTCTTGAGGTGGGTCGGCAGGTTTGACACTCAAACCTGGCAATGAGATGTCGCCATTCAAGACCTTCTGCACAATCTCATCCAGGTGGACATGGTTGAGCCATTCACATGCTGTTGGAGAATCCGTTGCACCGATGTAGAGAAGAGGTAGCTTCATTGCTTTTTGCCTAACCACTCATTGCAGACACAGGGTCAAAGATTTTTTTTGGTGCTTGACAACGAAGTAAGACCCAGCCCAAAACTCTAAACCTTGACAAACCTTTAGTAAGACCAAGACCCAACCCGCAAGTCAAAACCCTAACGACCTTTACAGCGACAAACGCAGCGTTTGTATAATATCTGCATCCACCACACAGATTAGGTATTTCAAAACATCTTTGTTTATCAGGTATACCACAAAAAATTAGCAATCGAACTTTGTCATCCCCACCGAAAAAAGAAAAACACGGAAGCTTCTTTTCGAATACCGCCCTGCCTCTCCAACCAAGCCCAGAAGGTGTCACCAACACCCACCGTCAAATCCACGATGCAAACCCCAGTCACCTTCGCCGGCATGTCTACATGCAAGACGCTCTCCAAGAGCTTCTGTGCTGCTGACGCACCAATCTGCTCGAAGCGGCGGCCTCCCTGAATGGACCCTGAAATGTCCGTTGTCGCAGGCACCGCGGTTTCATTGAGATCTTCTACCTGTTTCAGCTTTGTAGCCGCCACCTGGTCCGCCTCTTCGGTCCGGCCTTTACTGAGCAAGGGAGCAGCAAGCCAGTGGGAGCCCGGAAGATTCTTTTTGGAGACTTTTTCTCCCTCATCATCAACCGCTGTGGCAGCCAAAGGCCGCACCACCCTCAGGGGGTATTGCAAAGGCCTGGTATCACGGCTGTCTTTGCGCTCTTTGAACAAGAGAGAAGCCTGATGGTCCACATCTACTCCTTTGGACGCAAGGCACTTCACCAAGGTGTGCTCCAGAACATGCATCTGATTCTTCTTGTAGTGGAAGACCGGGCAAAGGAGCAACCCGAGGTTTGAAGCGCTGCCGGACACAAGCTGGCAAAAGCTAATAGCCTGAGCTTCCTGTGCTGCATCTGTCTGGGTAGATGGTGCACTCCAGTTCAGCAGGGCTACCGTCACCTAGGGCAAAAATGAAAGGCAAATTAAAAGTTATTTGGCCGTTTAAAACCTTATGGTCAACCAAGTGGCCACACCAGTCTTGTCCAATCCCGCATTGCGCAAAAGGTGTGCCATGCGACCATGCAATTCTGTCATCAGGGCACCCGAGTCCGAGGCATTGTATTGAAAGATGCAAGACTTATTGGAAAGCCACGAGCGCACATGAGCTGTAGTCTCCTCACGGTGATTATTCTGCCAGTCGACCTTTGCCAAGTGAATGTGGGTCTCAAAGTTTTCTAGCTT